TTAACACTTCAGTGGGTTGTTTACCACATTTGTATAAATAATTACTATAGTAAATGTTTTTTTACTAAAATGAAGTTAATAATTACAAGAGTTATCTATTTTTTTTACGAGAGTTGTGAATTTTTTTTACTAATTCAATGGTATTTTTTATGATATTTACCACTCCATGATCGATCAATAAATATTATCAATCGATCAGAATAACAGATGTGTGATTAATTTATGAATAATTTATAAACTAATTCAAGAAGATGTACAATTTAAATACATCATTTACTACCTTTATGGCAATATTTATGACTTCAATTGATTCTTTATTGGAATATTTACAACTTCATTGCTTTGTTTATTTGGTATCATCCGATGTTTATTATTTACTAAACCCCCCTTACAACACTTAAATTTATTACTCTTTGTCGGCATTTAAGTAAATATATCATACCTGATCTATCATATTTATTTTTGATCGATCACAATCCCACTTGTCCCTTCAACTTTTACATCTGTAACTCCATGATCGATTATTATACATAATTGATCGATCAGATGTCCCTAGTATTTATGATCTGCAACAATATGATCGATCATTATAAAATTTTGATCGATCAAATTAACTTACTACTTACTTATCTATCATATTGTTTACACGATCGATCAAATCTCCCTAGTATCCTTTTTACTTCTGATTCACATTAAAAATCTGCAACAATTTAATCGGTCAAATATAGTTTTGATTGATCAAATATCACGAGTACTTTTACTTATGATTCACCTTAACAATCTGTAACAATTAGATTGATCAAATATGGTTTAGATATATCAAATCTCCCTAGTACTTTTACTTCTAATTCACTTTAACAATCTGCAACAATTTGATCGATCAAATATGGTTGAGATCGATCAAATCTGCTCAATACTTTTACTTTTGATTCACCTTAACAATCTGCAACAATTTGATCGATCAAATATGGTTTAGATCGATTAAATCTCTCCAGTACTTTTACTTTTGATTCACAATATAAATCTCCAATATCATGATTGATTAATATATATGTTTGATCGATCGAATTTACTTACTAATTAGATCGATCAAATTTTTTAACGATCGATCCTCTCTCTTCAGTACTTTTATTACTTCTGATTCACTTCTCCATTTTGCAACAATGTGATCAATTAATATGTATTTTTTGATCTATTAAATACACTTATTACTTACTGATCTATCATATTTTTACACGATCGATTAGACCCACATAGTACTTTTATTACTTCTGATTCAAACCACATACCTGTCCCAATATGATTGATCACCATATACGTTTGATCAATCAAATTCAATACTTTTTTTTCTTTTTTCACTACACCTTACCACATACTGATTGATCATATATTTATTCGATCGATCAATATATAATGATCAATCATATATTACACTAACCGATCCATTACGTTGACTACAAGTATATTATCCTCGTAAATTTATCCACTGTGGTTGTAAATACATCTTTAATGTTGTATTTATCCCAATTACTTTTGTACATTTCTTACCGATATAGTAAATACTTCATTGCCTTTGTAGTTTGTTCCATTGATTTTCAAAATTTCTCACTTTGTTTTAATTATACCATTTATTTTGTAATTTGCCCATTAATATCGTTAACCTCGCAATGATTTTGTAAAAACACCTTATTGAGCCAAATAGGATCGATTATTCATATTCGCGATAGGTCAAATTATATATTTTTTTATTTTTTTCTAAAAAATTTATTTTTCTTACACCACTCCTTAGCACATGTTGATCGATCAATATACAATGATTGATCATATATTACATTGATCAATCTATTGCGTTGACTATATCTTCGTAAATTTATCCACTATGCTTATAAATATATCTTTATATCTATACCTATCTCAATTACTATTGTACATTTCTTACTAAAATAGTAAATACTCCATTAAATTTGTAGTTGGTTTCACTGAATTTAAAAATTTCCCAATCTTGTTATAATTATACCATTAATTTTGTACTTTTACTTAGTAATACCGTTAACATCACAATAATTTTGCAAAAACACCTTATTGAAGCACTATGATCGATCATCATATTCGTGATTGGTCAAATTATATATTTATTCTTTTTTTTTTCCAAAATTTCATTTTCTTATAGAAGACCTTTCAACATAGTGATCGATCATACATTTATTAGATCGATCAATATTTTATGATCGATCATCTATTACATTGACTATGCATTGTAATTTTTCCACTTTTATTGCAAATATACCTTTACTTTTGTACCTATCTCATTACTTTTTTACATTTCTTACTGATGTCGTAAATATATCATTACCCTTGTACTTGGTTCCAATGACTTTGTAAGAATACCATTATCTTTGTTATTGTACTCATTATTATTGTAAATCTTGCAAGTAATATTGTAAATATTCCATAATCTTTGTAACTCACTCATTGATTTGGTTCATCCTTCATCCGTCATTGTTGTACATTATAAGTGGCAATAGATCAATCTGATTGCCTTACTTTGCCTTCACACGTGTCTATCTCTACATCATTGTGCAGTATTTTTTTTAGCTTTTAGCTGCCAAAAATTTTCCGTACCATACCGAAAATTCCCTTGGATGTATTGTAGCTTGGTCCTTCCATTGGTTTGATGTAGATTCGAATTTATTGAGATGATAGACTAGGATGATTTTTGTATTTGGATTAAATAGGTTTATTTAATGCACGAGATTATGATTATTATTCGAATTAGAAAATATCATATTAACTTTGAGAGGTAGTTTAAGTGATAATACGGACGAGTTGTTAATTTGAATGTTTAGAGTTTGAATCTTGATAATCTCTTTGGGTCAGGTCATGAGGGATCTGTCCCTAATCCTTGTGTGAATGACCTACTTTTGAACGGTCGGAGAACAAAATTAGTTAAGGTACGCGTAAAATGACTCGGACATCCCTAACAGTTAAACAAAAAAAAGGTCAAATGTGCGTTATTTTTTTATTTTATACAGGATGTCCAACCCTGTACTAACTAATTTACTCATGCATGCAGAAAGAGAAAATATTCATTACAATGATGATACCACATAATAGTGTGATGTGGTATCACTAATCAATAATCAAATAAGTGAATGAATCTCACAAAAATTAATAACCAACTTGTCACGTAAGTAAATAAATTTTGTAAAATTTTCTTTCCTAAAAATTTTAACAAGACATTTATTAAACGTTGAAATTTAGAATCATTTAATTCAAAATCTTTTATCTTTAATGCACCTTAATTCATGTGTATTTTTTTTTTGGAAAGTGATTTTATTTTTAAATTATATTTATGCATTAAATATTTACTACTACTAGTTTTATAGGAGAATTTTAATATTTCGTTTATTTTATAATATATCACTTGTTTGAATTTCAATATTTGTTGATATCAGAACTCCATAATAATGTAACAAAAACAGTGTTCAGTAATTTTGTGCATGTGATAACAAATTCAAAACAGATATGAACTGTTTTGAATGAAATTATATAAAAATATATGTTTGACAAAATGTAATAGTACAATATTTTGTGTAAATGATTTATTACAATATTATTGTTACACTTTACAGTCTTCGGATATTAATATAATTTGAAAACAAAATCACTTTTTAAAAAAAATACGTATAAATAAAGGTGAGTTAAATATAATTTGAAAACAAAACTACTTTAAAAAAAACGCATGAATCAAGGGAGGTCATACAAATATAGAATGTTAAAATTCTCCCATAAAACTATGAGATGTTTAATGCACAACTTTTTAAAGAAAATACACATTAATCAATGAAAGACAAAAATATCAAAAAAAATTAGTAAAATTTAAATAATGTACTTGGATACAAATAAGTATCAAAATTAAGGACTTAATTACCCAATATTTTTTTATACTTTTTTACTATTAAGTTTAATTTGTTGTGCTCCTTTCTAATTTTCCCTTTTCTCTATGTAATAGATGTGTGCTACTGTACCCTGCGTTGAAGCCCATCCCAATCCCATGCAGTTTAATTCCCACTTTGAGTTTTCTCTCTGCTCTCATCTAAGCTATAGCCCATAAGTCATGTAAGGTTGGACTATCATAGGGGCTCTCACCCTATTCTCCTAGAAGGGCATTAAACTAATTGGACTAACAGGCCCATAACACTGACTACGTATTTTGAGTCTCTGTTTTTTGGGAGTGTAGATTATTCCCACCTTTTAAAACTCTTTTTTCCTTATTTAATTATTTTATTTTAAATAATTAAATTTATCTCATGTATATCCACCTCATTAGTTATTGAATTTATCTTATTTATATTCATTCAATTAAAATATCAAATATATGTCAAAGAAATCAAAATAAAAATAATGATTGAAACGAAATTTCAATGTTTTGAAGTGATTTATATATTATTTTAATATATTTTTATCAATATTTTTAGAATATTTTAAAATATTTTAACTAATATTTTAAAAATAATTATTAATTTTTATTCTGTATTGACTAGATAGTAGGTTGAAATAAGATTAAATGAATTTAACTTTTAATTATTGAATATAAATAAGGTGAGTTTAATAATTAAAGCGGTGAATTAAATGAGATCAATTTAGTAGTTTAAAGTATAATTATTAATTGAGTTGGAAAATGACATTTAAGGGGCGGGAATAATCCCACCACTTCCACCTTTTTTTGGGACAGCTGTCCAACAGCGGTGACACACACATGCGCCCCGCAAGCCACTGTATGTATACATCTATCTATTCTGTCTTCCTTAACGACGAAGGGTTCAAACTTCAAAGGAAATTCACGGGGCTAGATCGTAGTTTCAGTAAAATTAAAGGCGCTTTTTGTAATTACTTATATTACACGTAATAAATTCCTTGGAGACAACTGAACTTAGGAATCCATATCTTCAGCAAAGGATATTCTGCAACTATCCGTCCGTTTAGAGAGAGAGAGAGAAATGGGTTTGCTCTCCAACAGGTAAAAAATAATCCTTTGATCATCCAAGTTGCAGACTCTCTTATCAGTTTTAATAACAATCTTAATTTGTTAATTGAAATGCAGAGTGGATAGAGACAGCCTCAAACCCGGCGATCACATCTACTCCTGGCGCTCTGTTTATATTTACGCTCATCATGGTCAGAACTCTCTCTCTCTCTCTCTATATATATATATATATATGTATGTATAAACCGTGTTTATATATCATGGTCAGAGCCCGTTCTGACTGAATTTGATTGTTCAAGAGCTGTGCACATGAAATGTGAAAAGATTAAGAGTAATGGTATACTGACTAAAATTTAAGACCAAATTTAGAACGCAAATAACATGACAGTTGTTTATTTGAAGTTAAGAGTAAAATTTATGCTTGTATTTGTTTCTAGAAAAGGTTCTTTTCCTGTTGATATTTAGTTTAGGGTTTCAAATATGTTGCAAATTTTTTTTTGTTATTTTTTTTTAAATATGTTGCAAATGGGTAGCCAGAGAATAGTTCATAAGCTTACTGAACTGTAACAAAATTTAGAAAAAACATAAGCTGGTTGATATTTCTCCTTATTGGCCCTCGCCTTGATTTTAAGGAGGATGGATACTTCAGAAGAACACCAAATTCCCTATGACATTAATTATATGCATCTGTTTTAGACCTACTGATATTTTATGCATGAATTGCCAAAACATTTTTGCAAGAAACGAAGTCTAGGGTTCAAATTCGTTTATTTTTGGGTTTTAATTGCTCATACATGACGCTAGTTCTTGTATTGTGATACCACGTATGTAGTGTTGTTAAGGGGGTGGATGAGGGTTCATGGGAAGTGTTTAAAGATTTTCATTTTTATGTGGATTCATGTAAGATACACGTCTAATAACGGAACCAATTCAGTGGTTTTAGTCCATTGACATTGCAGCTCAGCCTTCACTGTGGACCTTTTCTAAAGACTTCTGTAAGGTACATGCAAAATTGCATTAGGAGACCATCTGTTTGTCGCAACTTTGTGAAATTTGCCATTGCAAACATCAATTTATGAAAGAGTTGCACGTTAAGCAGCTCTTAACATGTAGGGGTAAATGATTCTTGTGAAACTTAGGTTTTTTGTAGAACCAAAAAATAGAGGAAATTCCAGAATATGTTTAGGTTGCCAGCTAAAGACACAGGTCCTCTTAACTGATAAATTAATGCTGTAATCACTGGACCTTGGATTAGAACTTTGGGTTGTATTCTCGAGGTTCTATCTGTCTTCCTGTCCTCACTGGTCAATATCTAGTCTGGGTAATGTTGTCCAGAAGATGTTGTAGACTGACATAGAGGTTTTATTATGCAGATGATTTCGGTTTATTAATTTATATGCCACTTTAATTTCATTTTGGTGATTGAAGTTCTCTTTCTCTATTTGATTCATCAGTAATAACAACATACTTACATTTATGTTTGCTCATTTGGTCACTGATAACTTAAACTATGTCATATCATATCATATGAATGCTAGGTATCTATGTTGGGGATAATAAGGTCATTCATTTTACTAGACGCGGCCAAGAGTTAAGAATAGGGACAGTGCTGGATGTCCTCTTGGTAAGCTCAAGATCATCCCGAACCCATGTGCCGTGCTCCACGTGCAATCCGCAAGATGAAGATCATGGAGTAGTCTCCTCGTGCCTGAACTGCTTCCTTGATGGTGGCATCCTGTACCGTTTGAGTATGCTGTTAATCCTACTCTCTTTCTCGCAAAAGCACGTGGCGGAACTTGTACTCTTGCCATCTCAGATCCAGACGATGTTGTAGTTCATCGAGCAAACTACCTATATACCAATGGCTTTGGATGCTATAATGTATTTAATAACAATTGTGAAGACTTTGCTATCTACTGCAAGACAGGACTGCTTGTTCTGGATCAGAGAACAATGGGGCAGAGTGGACAAGCAGTATCTATTATAGGTGGCCCTCTTGCCGCTGTGTTGTCTACACCATTGCGCCTTGTGACAAACAATGTCTATGGAATGGCAGTAACAGCTGTTGGGGTCTACTGTGCTAGTCGTGTTGCTGCTGACATTGGCATGAGGAGCGATGTCTTGAAGGTATCTGTGGAGGATCTGACAAGAAGGCTAGCAACATGTACACTTCAGGTTGTCGAACCAAGTCTTCCAGCTGTTGCACCTCCGGGCAGTTAGCCTTTGTTTTCTATGATTTAAAAGTTGTTAGTTTTACACTATTATATCTTGTTATGTGGCTAAGTAATGCTCAAACATGATTGGTACTTGTATGTTGTTGTATTGTAATGTGTTTTTTGTTTGTTCAAACATATTTTTCTGGGAAAATTACATTTGTATTCTGTAAATTGTGGCCTTGGTTTGTTTGGCTTCAATTTGGCACTTATGTTTCCAGATTCTGGTCGAGTCAACTAGTTTATAGCAGTTAATTTGGCCACGGAAAATAGTCACGTGCATGTTACGTATAATTTGCATAATTTGTGTTGAAATTTGGAAATCATTTACCCCATCTTTGTTGGTTTTCTATCAACCAGTTCGACTTAAAATACCATCCTGGGATGGGTGAAGGGGTATGCTTTGTGCTTGCCCAATGAGAAAGGCCTTGACTCAGCCAACCAAATAAAAATCAAATTGAAAGAAGAGAGTGGAAGGAGAAGAGAAATTTTTTTTTGGCAACTCTTTAGGGGTGGTGTTTAACCTATTTCTTTGATTACTTGGTGTTCACAAAACCTTTTGCCTGAAAACCATGCTATAAAGACACCCTTAAACCCAAATATGGTAAGGTTTTGCTCCAAACATTCTATGTGAGCAATCTCAATTGGCAATGATACACATGCCATTAAGATAAGTACATGCTCTAGTAATACTAGTTGGCTTCATCAGACCTGCCCTCCTCTGAGTTTGAACCATTTACAGTAGTAATCCCTGTGTGTTAGAAATTGCTGGAGGAGTTGAATATTCAGTTTGTTCTCGGTGGTGTTGTAGTGACGGGTTCAACCATTCCAGGTTAATAGTTATGGTTTAAACTGAACATTCTATAGAGATTGAAAACTTCAAAGTAGTGTCCTCAGAGTTGCTATGCCACTTGTCATCCCTAACCGCCCTTTTTTTTAGCAAAAAAAAAATTACACGCTCTATTTTTAGTGTAGTAATATGTAATTTAGTGAGTGAGTGTGTGTGTGAGAGAGAGAGAGAGCATACTAACTTGCCATCGATGCAAATTCTAAAGTTGGAACAGGATTTGGGTCACATTGGATCCAACCTTGTAGAATAAATCTCATATACCTAAAATTATTAACCAAAAACAATGAAGCACCTAAGTTCATCTTTGACCATGACTCAAATTTAGACTCAAATTTAAGTAAAAAAACTTAATTTGGTATAAAACACTCCAAATATTTACTTAAATCGTTTAAACAAATTTGTTACAGTCTCGAAGCTCATTTTTTAATTTTTTTCTACCAAAATTTTTTATCATCTCTCATTCTACTGTTTCATTCCCTTTAAAAACCTCTATCCCTCTCAATCATTACTCTAAAATTAATTTCTCACAGTTCTCAAAAGATTTGGACTATAGGCAAAAACCATTTATTCGAATTGTAACTCAAAGATAATAAGACTTAGAAAATTAAAATAGAAAATCATTATCATATATATTTCCAATTGTACAACTAATTCTAAAATAGAAAAGAAGAAACAGAAAATGCTCTTTAATATTAAAACATGTTTCTTACAAACTACACAAATATTAACCAAAAAAAAGCATAAATATCAACCTTTAAGTGGTAGATTCGTGAGCTTTTTACTAAGTACGAAAGATGAGAGAGGGAGATAAATTTTTTGAGAATAAATTTATAAGAGAGAAAAAGGATAAAGAGAGAGAGTAAATAGTTACCGTAAAAAAATATAGGTAAGAAGAGACAGTGTGATTGACGGTAATGGTAGCGATTTTGAAGATAGAGACAAGAGAGACAAGAATTTGTTTTGTCGAAGGAGGGTTCGACTCTTTTGGGTTTGGATAGGATAAAAAATTATTGTTAGAAATTTAATATATGATTTAAGTCTATCTCAATTGGGTCAAAAATAAGTTTTTTCTTTAGTCATTAGCAATTTGGTATAAGGTTGGAAAAAAATGTTGGACTATTTTGACTCAAATTTAAATTGAGCCTAAATTTAAGTTTTTTTTTATTAATTACTTTATCTGTTTTTAAATATCTGTTGTTTTACATAATTTTTTTTGTGCCATAATATCTGTTGTTTAATGAAACTAAAGTATAATTAATATATTTTTTTTAAAATTTATCCTTAACTTTTTAATGCAGTAGATTAGATGGAAGCTAAGTATTTTTTATATTTATTTATTTCTCAATACGTATTGAATAAGAGTATTTTAGTCTTGTGTAATTATTTTTTACTCATATTACAGTTATTTAATAGCTTTTTTAATCTCTGTGTAAAAATTTTAAACGACAGATATTTAGGAACGGATGAATAACATTTAAGTCAAAGTTAGTGCTGTTTGCAAAATCATAAAAGTCCAAATTAGAGCTCCTTTCCCACGGTATCCGAACTGCATTGCATATGGAATTTAAATACTAGTATTAATAGAGTCTGTGATCCCAAGAGACTTTCGCAAGGCAACTTCTAAAGGACAAAAAAATCAAAATCATACGTACACGGATTTCTAGAACAAAACATCGACTTGTTCATTCTTAAAAATCACAAAGCAACGTAGTTTTTGATTGAATACAACTAATGTTTCTAACACATGCATACGCAGAATGTAGATGATATCATGAAGAAGAAAACGAAATGGAGTTACAGAGCAGATACCCAAATCTACCTCTGCTTCATTTCAATTAGATTACATCTCAAAAAAAAAAAAAAAATTAGATTTCAAATTTGTCCACCTGGGTTTTGAAAGTTTCGTCTCAAAGGTCCACCTTTTGTGGTCTATCTCGGGTTCTTCTGATCTGAAACACATGTTCACTCTCTCTCTCTCTCTCTCCATTGATTTTGACATGGGTGTTTCAAGAAACAGCCATTAGAGCCCTCAAGTAGCTTCTGAGCCCATGTAGCTTCGCTGCTTGCAATTTGTTGTCAATGATAATGCTTGCATTAACACTTTTGTCTCTCTCTTGTTTCAGTTTTTTCTGGTGTTACAGACTCTAATGACCTTGCAATTCTCAACCAGTTCAGAGATGGATTGGAGAACCCTGAACTCTTGAACTGGACTACTAGTGATGATCCATGTGGTCCCCCAAGTTGGCCACATATCGTTTGTTCTGGCAACAAGGTTTCTCAAATTCAAGTTCAAATTTTGAATTTGAAGGGTACTTTGCCCAAGAACTTGAACCAGTTGCCTATGCTCTCAAACCTAGGCCTTCAAAAGAATCAATTCAGTGGAATGCTACCATCTTTTAGTGGGTTATCAGAATTGAGGTATGCTTATTTGGGTCACAACAATTTTGATACAATTCCTTCAGATTTCTTCAATGGACTTGTGAAATTAGAGGTTTTGGCATTGGATTATAACCCACAAAATGCCACCACTGGCTGGTTACTGCCTAGTGAATTGCAAAATTCAATTCAATTGACCAATCTCACACTGATGAGTTGTAATTTGGTTGGTCCATTACCAAAATTCTTGGGAAACATGCCGTCCTTATCGGTGTTGTTTTTGTCGTTTAATCGAATCTTTGGGGGTATTCCAATGAGTTTTAAGGATTCTGTGTTGAAAATGCTTTGGTTGAACCAACAGTCGGGGGATGGGATGACTGGTCCAATTGATGCAGTTTCTACATTAGGATCACTAAATAGTTTGTGGCTTCATGGGAACCATTTTTAGGCAAAATTCCGGAGAACATTGGTAATTTAACTTTGTTGAAAGATCTCAATCTGAATGACAATGACCTCGTTGGCCTAATCCCTGATAGCTTGGCAAGTATGGATTTATTCAGTCTAGACTTGAATAACAATCAATTCATGGGTCCAATACCAAAGTTCAAAGCTGCCAATGTTACCTATGAATCAAATCCGTTTTGTCAATCTATTCCCGGGGTTCCTTGTGCCCCAGAAGTCATGGCGCTCTTGAAATTCCTTGATGCAATTAATTATCCATCTAAGTTTGCTTCTACATGGTCAGGTAACAATCCATGTGATGGACCATGGTTGGCATTGACTTGTGATGTCAACAGAAAGGTTTCTACAGTAACCTTGCCCGAATCTAATCTTACTGGTACTTTGAGTCCTTCAATTGCAAACCTGGATTCCCTTACTCAAATCATACTTCGATCTAACCAGTTAACTGGTCCAATTCCAACAAATTGGACTAGCTTAAAATCTTTGACATTGTTGGATTTGAGCAACAACAACCTTTCCCCACCTCTGCCAAATTTCAATAGCACTGTAAACCTTGTGTTATATGGGAATCCTTTATTAAACTCTAATACTTCCAGACCAACCGCTCCGCCAGGTAATAGTCCATCTGAGGGTTCACAGCCACGCACCCCACCACCTTCACCAACTACTGGATCAATTTATAATAACGTGCCAACCGTAGGGTAGAGTTCCAACAAGTCTAAACTAGTTGCAATTTTTGCAGTCTTGGTATGTCTGGTTGTGCCTCTATCTATTTGCTCCCATTAGAGGAGAAGAGACAAGTACCAAGCTCCAAGTTCCATTGTGATTCATCCAAGAGACTCATCTAATCCAGATAATTTGGTCAAGATCATAGTGTTGAGGTTATGTTGTAATTAGCTCTTAGTTAAAGGATCTTGCCTGTAATTAGTTTATCTTATTCTATTAGGGTTGTATATAAACCATGTTAATGAATGAAATAAAGAGGTGTTGTTTTTCTCCCAATTTTCATGGTATCAGAGCCGAACAAATTTTTTTAACCCTAATCGTCGTTCTCATCTATCATCATGGGTGAGAAGATCGAATTATCTGGATCGAAAATAGCTCCGGTGTTTGTTCAAGTTGAAGGGCCTTTCAACGCTGGAATCATTCTTACCGAATAAAACTACGATGTCTGATCCCAAATGATGGAGATGCATATTGCCAAGAGGGAGAAACTTTTCTCTATTTACGAAAAAACCCAGCAACTGGCTGAATCCGATGATGGGTATGGAAAATGGTATTTTGAAAATCAAAAAGTGAAAATGTGGTTATTGATATCAATGACCCTAGAAATCATGAAGCGTTATTTACGCGTATCCACCGTCCGTGAAATTTGGGTTGCTCTATCAACTATTTTTTATGATGGCAGGGATGAACTCCAGGTATACTCCTTGAATCAAAAGGCTTTTACTGCGAAACAAGGGGAAAAACTCCTCTTTGTATATTATGGGGAGTTATGCGAGCTTTTCTGTGAATTGGATCACTGTGATAAAGTAATTATGGAGAACTCTAATGATATTGCAGCGTATAAGAAATCCATCCAACGACAATGGGTACACATTTTTCTTGCCAAATGAGGAATTTGAACAGGTTCGTGGAGAAATCCTTCGCAAGGATTCTCTCCCAACTTTGGAAAAAGTGTTATGGGATAATCCGACGTGAGGTTGTTCGTCGGGCCACTACGAATGTGGAATTAGAAAATATGGATTCCTCATTCATGGTGGCTCATAATTGGCCAAACTTAAAATTACAGGAGCAATCTCGCCCTCAACAGACTCAACCCTAAGATCAATCGCGCTCGTATGCTCGCTCCCGGGGTACTACGAAACAATCATACAAATGTATCCATTGCGATCAAACTGGGCACACAAAAGAGAGTTGCTACGAGCTTGTTGGTTACCCAGAATGGTGGGATCACAACTGTGATTCAAAGAAAAGAGGGGCTGGTCGGAATGCGACTGTTGTATTAATGGAAGGAACGGTAGATGGAGTTAATGAAGTTGTCAAACGTGCCACTGCATTGATAACAACGGTAGGTAACAATATTGATAAGGCTTTAAATATGTATGTACCTGTTTTGAATAATACATGGATAATTGATTCAAGTGCAACAGATCATATGACATTTGATTCTAACCAGATTTTATCCTTAAGCCAATATTCCCAGAAATGTGTGTCAATTGCTAATGGTGCCTCCGCTCCAGTTATTGGAGAAGGGGTTGTGTCACTTATAGATACTTTAAACTTGGAGTTTGTTCTAATTGTTCTATCCTTGAAATATAATTTATTGTCAGTTGCTCAAATAACCTTGACCTTACACTGTGTTGTGATTTTTTGGCCTGATTTCTGTGTTTTTAAGGACATCCGAATGAGACAAACGATTGGTTATGGTGTTAGGCGAGGGAAGCTGTACTACCTGGAACTTGTGTCAAAGAGTTATGACAAGCTAAGCAAGGCATTGGCAGGGGATAGTTTTGCAGGGGAGAAGAAAAAAACTGAAATTTGGTTATAGCACCGACGTTTAGGACATGCCTCATTTGGTTATTTGAAGAAGTTGTTT